GTGAGGGTGGTGAGACCGTGGCACAGGTTGCCCAGAGAAGCTGTGGCTGCCTCATCCCTGGAAATGTTCAAGGCCAGGTTGGATGGGGCTCTGAGCAACCTGGTCTAGTGGAAGGTGTCCCTGCCCATGGCAGCAGATTGGATCCAGATAATCTTTAAGGGCCCTTCCAAGACTCAAAATGAGTCTTCTATGAATCTATAATCATTCATTCACTACTAAACTGGACTCATTTTCATCCACTTCCAAACATCTAGGAATACTGGCAAACAAGTTGGTTGTCATAAGCAGAAATGACCAGAAGAAGTGTGATAGATCAAAGTGTGTTTGAAGGAAGTCGTTGAGTCCTGTGGTTTATTTTGTCCCTGATAACCTGGGACTGGCATCTTAAAGTGGTTTTGAGGCAGATAAGGGACAAGGCTGATAAGAAGCAGATTCGGTAGAGCTGGGGCAATCCTTTGTATCGTTTTTATCATATTTCCTCCTTTCTGATGAGGTCCAACTGGCCTGACAAAGCAGCAGTTGCGAGAAGCAAGGCCAAACTGTGCTCATGTCATTAGAAAGGGCCATAAACCACCAAAGACCCCCAGAGCATCCCCTGACTCATTTCCACAGTGTAGCATCACACTGTGTAAAACCCCACCCAGGGAAGGCAGTGGGGCATTTCCACAGGACCCAGAATGAATAGAACCCATCCAACTCTCTGTGGCTCTGGCCTCCACTCCCAAAGGACCGAAATTGCAGGTCTTGTTGCTGGATCCACGAGTGGTGATCTCCTTCCTCTCCACTATCTGCTCTTGTCCTTTCCTTCTCTTTCCTTCTGTCTTCTCCTTAGATTTTTTCATCTTGATGTTTCTATTCTTTTATAGAAAATAACTAAAATGGCTGTAAACATCCTTTCCACTGCAAACAAGTTGTTTTAAAATAAACCTGCCTCGTACAGACACTGGTCATTCAGCATCATCTCGACCTCAATCATTTATTAAAAGAACTAAGGTCATCCTGCCTCGGAGGTTGCTGGTAAAAAGAAGCCATGAACCTCTCATCACACCCCTGGAGTCTAGGAGCTCATGGTTTTCCATTTCACTGCTTTTTTATACAATTTAATAATAATGACCTAATAACTGGCACTGCTTTGTCTTTCATGTCAGTGTAGGCACTAAGTGTTGGCAAGAGCTGTGCGCTACCTGGGTGGAGAAGTGCTGTGAGTGATGTTGAAGGAGCTCTGCTGCTCATTGATCCAGCTCCCATGGGGTCTGTTCTGTAAGACAAACCTCCATTTCTTCAACTTGTAAAAAATCCTATTGGATCCTCCAGTCTTCTCCCAGCTGGGAG